CCCTGAGATCACGCATGCTCTACTGAGTGAGCCAGTCAGGTGTTCCTTCTTGATCTATACTGATTAAGTTTAGATATTTACTATAGAAAAATTAATTAACACATACAGAGAATATTTATTGAGAATATACTTAGTGGTTATGTTGAGATGGACCCACTCTCAGAAGATCCTTTGGTATCTTCTGGGGCTGCAGGAGGAGATAAGCACAGGAAAGACCTAAAGTACATATACATATACTCTTTTTAAAATTTTATTTACATATAATGTGTTATTTGAGTCAGGGGTACAGGTCTGTGAATCATTAGTCTTACACAATTCACAGTGCTCACCATAGCACAGACTCTCCCCAATGTCCATCACCCTGCCACCATATCCCTCCCCCCACCCCCCAGCAACCCTCAGTTTGTTTCCTGAGATTAAGAGTCTCTTATGGTTTGTCTCCCTTCCCGGTCCCATCTTGTTTCATTTTTTCCCTCCCTGATCCCCATGACCCCCCACCCTGCCTCTCAAATTCCTTATATCAGAGAGATCATATGATAATTGTCTTCCTCTGATTGACTAATTTTGCTTAGTGTAATACCCTCTAGTTCCATCCATGTCATTGCAAATGGCAAGATTTCCTTTTTGATGGCTGCATAGTATTCCATTGTATATATATGTGTGTGTGTGTGTATATATATACACCTCATCTTCTTCATCCATTCATCTGTTGATGGACATCTAGGTTCTTTCCATAGTTTGGCTATTATGGACATTACTGCTATAAACATTCAGGTGCACGTACCCCTTGGGATCACTACATTCGTATCCTTAGGGTAAATACCCAGTAGCATGATTGCTGGGTCATAGGCTAGCTCTATTTTCATCATTTTGAGGAACCTCCTTACTGTTTTCTAGAGTGGCTGCACCAGCTTGCATTCCCACCAAGAGTGTAGGAGGGCTCCCCTTTCTCTGCGTCCTTGCCAACATCTGTCATTTCCTGACTTGTTAATTTTAGCCATTCTGACTGGTGTGAGCTGGTATCTCATTGTGGTTTTGATTTGTATTTCCCTGATGCCGAGTGATGTGGAACATTTTTTCATGTGTCTGTTGGCCATCTGGATGTCTTCTTTGCAGAAATGTCTGTTCCTGTCGTCTGCCCATTTCTTGATTGGATTATTTGTTCTTCGGGTGTTGAGTTTGCTAAGCTCTTTATAGATTTTGGATACTAGCCCTTTATCTGATATGTCGTTTGCAAATATCTTCTCCCGTTCTGTTGGTTATCTTTTGGTTTTGTTGACTGTTTCCTTTGCTGTGCAAAAGCTTTTGATCTTAATGAAGTCCCAATAGTTCATTTTTGCCCTAGCTTCCCTTGCCTTTGGTGATGTTTCTAGGAAGAAGTTGCTGCAGCTGAGGTAGAAGAGGTCAAGTATATATATATATACATACATATATATATATACTTTTGTTACCCAGGTGATGCCCAACCCCAAGCTCCAATCCCAAACCTAATGCAGTCTCTGATGAACTCAGCTGTCCACATGGAGCTGCTTTGGAAATATTGTGTCTTGAACTTAGATCGATGTACTTCATCCTTTTTCCTGGGTCCAGCTTTCTAGGTCCTACTTTACCGGTGGCTGATTGAGGCAGGAGAAAAAGAATAAAAGAAAGATAAAAGGTGAAGTTAGAGCTGGTCTAATTAGTTCGCCCTAAGCCTTATCTTGGGGAAAGGTTATTGGGAAGCATCTCCCACGTGCAAGGCAGTTATAGACCTGTTTTGCCTCACTGGCTACATGGAAGTAGAGAGGAGCAATCTAGAGAGAGTGAGAACCCCAAGAGAGGAACTCCAAAGAAGTCACAGCCTACAGAAGTCAAAATTAACATATTTTCTCCATACACCCAAAGCTCCGGCCCCTATTAAGAGGTTTCGTTGATTCCAGTAACTTGATTCAGTCTTCTTTGCTCTTTCTTCATTGGCATAGGTTTGTGGAGTGGAGTAAGGGTGGGGAGAAGCAGAAGTGGAACTTTGTTTTAGAAGGCACTATAACAAATATAAGACATGGCCTTTATCCCAGTTCTCAAATAACTTATTGTCTGGGGAACTAATGTATAGGAAACATTTAGTGAAAACAAATGAAATACTTGAACTATGTGTTCTTGATTACTCCAGAAGAATCCAGGTACAGGATAAGTGAATGCGGATTTGTTTCTTGGGGAAGTCTTTCTAGATCATTCACAAGTGAGGTACCAAAGGATTAAAGGAACTAATTAAGAAGGCAGAAAAGAGGAGGTGAATAAAGATTCATAATGAGCTTAGAGGTCAGTGAACCTATGTGCCTGAAGCAGAGATTTCATTTTAGAGACTAGGGAATGAACCGGAAGAGGAAAGTGGGGTACTTCAAAAATCAGGCAGGGGTTAAGTTGTAGGCAGTCAGGTAAGCTTTTTGTTTTTTGTTTTTAATTAAGTTAATGTTAACCTCTTTAAGTTTTTATGGAATGAAGAGAGGATAAATTAATAAGTTACTGATTAATTGAATAAATGAATAAATACATTGTATTATAAAGACATCGTAGATATTATAAAAACTAGCCTCTTAAGTAGAATTTGTCTAGGTTGGGAATATGGGGCTCCTAGGCAGGATCTCAGCAACACAGTTTGCCAGGGAACAAGAGATGTCAAGACTAGGTGTATCAGGGACTGGGAGCCTGGCTGCACTAGAGTTAGGCAACAGTCTAGTCCTCAGTGAACAAGAGGAAGTGTTGGATCTGAGGAGATCCAATTTATCCGGAGATTTGGTTACCCAAAATGTAGATAGCAGGTGAGATTGAGTCGAGAATGGTGGTGTCATAGAAGTTGGGCAATCTAATCATAGCTAGATTCCAGCTGACAGCTGGAGTTCTGGCATAGAATCTGGGAAAGGGTAGTGTCAGGGCCCTAGTCAAGTAGATCGAAGTTCAGGGCAAGGCGCAAGGTCTTGAAGGAAAAAAGAAAGCTTGTCAGGGCAAAATCCAGTTGCTGGAGTTTGGGCCAACCTGTGTGGAGTTAGTAGGGAAATGGAGGAATGATGATGAAGCTGTCCAGAGTAAACTCAGTTTGTAGTGGAGAAAGGAATACCATTCCTGCTATCTGGTGTGCTGAGGTTGCTTCTCGTTGCTTCTCTTTTGCCTGCATGATGAAGATGCACTGAAGGCCACAGGTGTGCTGAGCCTCTTAAGTAGATCCTTCAGGGGCCCTCAGATGGATCTCGGAATGGATGGCTGAAGTGGAGGCCTTGTGGGGTTGCATCACTCGGAAGGAGTGGGGACTACAGCACAGGAGACGTAGGCATAGCTAGGAGCCTGTCATATTCCAGGTTGAGGAGAATGGTGCTTGTCAAAGAGGTGGGGAGGATTTAGTAGAAATTCAGAAGAAAAAGGGGCTGCAAAAAACATTTCAAATCAGGAAGAGGTTTCAGTGACAAGTTTGATATAATGGATAGAGAAGGAAGAACCTAAAATGATTCTAGGTTGATTTTAAATGCTTGCATAGGACAACAATTTTGTTCATGAGCTGAAGGGTTGTTTTTTTTTTTTTTTTTTTAAACCAAAACCAATTGCATTTGACAGAAGATAAAAACAAAAGTTATTTACAGCAGTGTTTTGCTCAAGTAACTCAAGGGGATGACTGTGCTTCTTCTTATCTCACAACCAAACCAAGCAGAGGCTGCCCCATCCGCAGCCTCCCCATCTTGCACAAGGAGGGAATGCCAACCAGAATCCAGCTGCATGGCTCCCTCACCACCTCAGCTGCTCACTGCACCATGGGAAGGAAAATCCTACCCCAGTTCAGTATACTTCCAGGGTCCCTTGCTTTGAGCATCTTCCGACACTCACACCAGACCTGGGCTCACAGACATGGGTGGAGTGGAAGAGATTCAAGATTCAAGATGAGTTGAAGCTGCTTTGTTCTTTCTTTCTGAGCTGGGCCTCAGGAGGGTGAGGATCCCTGATCCCCTCGGACATGCAAGGGGCCAGTGGGGTGGCAAAAGGGAAAGCCTAGGAAACTTGCCCACTCACTGAGAGCGAAGTTCCCTCTCCTTAAATAACCAGTCCCCATTCCTACAGCAATAGATAGGCCAAGTGACTGAGAAATCTGATAGAGCTGAAGGACATTTCAAACACATATCACTTTTGGCCTGTTTTTTAAAAACCCAAATAAATAAAGTAAATTGGTAAATAAGTGTGTTAAGGCCAGGCTTACTTGTGTGTTTGTTGGCTTTCAGTCTCAAATGCCAAGGGTCTGCAGTGAGACATTTCAGAGGGAAAGAGCCCTTGAGCATGTGAATGAATAACGTTTCTTGCAAAGATGCTTTTCTTTCCTGTTCAAAGATAGTATGATTAGTGTACATGTGCATGAGTATGACTGAAAACCTCAGGTGGGCCTACCTGTACGTATCTGTCTGCGTTGCTCTCACGGGGGGCCTTGGTTGCTGGAGGTGACGTTTGAAGTGTTTGTGCTTACCTCTTTTATTCACCTGGTTAGTTCAGAGCCTTTGTTGACTGAAGAGTGCTCCTGCCTGGCCAGATTGCTTCACTAAAGGGTGCTGTCTGCCGCTGTTGGTTCCCAGCCAGCTACTTGGCTGCTCCATGATGGGATAGAGGCATGGACTTGACTCTTCATGAAGGGATAGGGCCTGGAACTTCAGGAGGGCTTTTATACCTGTTTATGGAGGTGAGGAAAGAAAATACAGATTCCTTCCCTGGATAGGGAAACTTCGTTTTCAAAATGTACAGCTACATGGTGTTTCTCATTTTATTGGGCTTGGATCTGCACCTGGGGTAGCAATGGATTCCAAAGTCATTATTGAAGGTAAGGAAAGAAAACTCGAAGCAGAACTATTACCATAAAAGATCCTGGTTGTATTTTTGAAAGGATGAGCTAAATAAAATTTCAGTGATCAGCGGAAGACCAACTGTTGAACTTCTGAAAAGTTGTTCTTAGAAAGGCTTGGATTAATAATTTGTTTCCATTTTGTTCGCAGATGTACTGTCTGTAGGACAGGGGTAGCCTGAATACCTGCTTCACTGAATACCTGCTTCACAGCTCCTTTCACATTTTCTTGTTGGAAAGACAACCGTTGGAGAATCATCTTGTTACCGTCAGCAAAAATGCAAACAAATCAAGACATTAAGAATGCCACAGTGGCCAGCAGTTAATGATGCCAGTGTTACACAAGCTTCAGCAAAGTTTTCAAGACAGTGTGCCTCACTAGCCAGAAATCAGGGAAGATTGAACCTATCCTTTTTGTCTCAGCTGTTCCTTAAATCAATGCATCCCCTCCAAATTAATGTGAATTGAAACACGCATTGCCTTTTTAACTTAATTGAGTACTTACTATGGGTGAATCACTGCACAAAATAGGGGAGGGAAAATGAGGGAGACAAGTAAGATGTGTTTCCTGCTTTCAATGGATTTACAATTACTTTCAGGGCACTTTTTTTTTTTTTCTTCTGCTCTTAATTAAATGTGTTTCTAAGATAGAAAACAAATGAATGGAAAAGTGTATTCTGCAAGTATTTTAAATCCCTTTAATAAAAAATGAAACAAAACAATCTAATGTGGGCAAGTGAGGACATCTTAATTCCATTTTTTTGGACTTTCGATAAGTAGGGTTTATTTTATTGATTCTATAAATATTTGGTAGACTTTAGAGATATTAACACATTAGAGTTGGAATTCATTGGATTAATTTTTTTCCTCCTTGGTGTAGATTGTCTGTTGAAAAGATACATTGTGTTTGTACATTTCTTGAAGAGTGGGTAGGTGAATTACATCTGTTGCCTCTGTAGGCCTCTACCTTCTGTGCCCTAGGAGCCTGACATCCTGTGTGAGTTATTAGCATGTGGAAGGGGAACATTTGGATCAAACTTAGGAATATTGTTCACGGACCCAAGACAGGGCAGGGATAGGAGCAAAACAGACCCAGGCAATGACTCTGTCAGAAAATTTGGCTATTTCAGTATTCATGTGTTGTCCTCTATGTTCCAAAATTACTGTACAGTTTTTTCAAAAACTTATTTCTGATCTGGGAATTTCTGATCTGATGATTTTTAGTGTTAAAACACTAATAGGACTGTAGATACTAGACATTTTATATGGTGTTTGTAACACATTTTATTATGTATGAAGCAACAATAGACACGTCTTTGTCTTGAGTAGTGTCCATCTGAATGGAAAATGTGCCAGCTTTTTTTTTTTAAACATCATCAACAGACTTCTTAATTAAGCTGCCAATAATACTGCTAATAGCACTGTGCATCATTTGAGAAATGAATTGTGAAGTGCTCTTTCCCTCTTATTGAATAAACAATGTTGCTGCATATAAAATGGATTTAAACTGTTTTTGAATAGGAGATTATATTGCTCCCTAAAGAATTTGATGAGAATTCTCATACCTTCCCTTTTTACTTAATTTCCAAAAATTAAGTATTTTGCTCCCCAGTAAGAAATTGTTCTAATTTGACCAGTGAGTTTAATGATATGATCCATCCTTAATAGGATGAATCTCCCTGCCCCCAAAATCCTGATGGTGATACTGGATATTTATTAATCTGAGTTATGAAACTATATTGTACTAAACTGTAGACCTTTATTTCCTATTCTGTGGAATTTTTTGTAGGGAACATCTCTATGTTCCTGGAAACTAGCACAGTGGCTGGTGCATAGTAGGTATGTGTTGAGTGAACATTTGGTGATCAAAAAAATGTGTAAGGTAGCTTTTTTCTGGGCTTCTTAAGGCTCTGTAAAAGACAGAGGGGTCTTGCTAATAGAGTAGCACTTTCATTGGTTTCCAGTCAATCTAGTTAGAATAAGTCCAAGTTAACCAGTTTCTTCATATTTGTTTAGTCCACTGGGCTTCTTAATGGGTGTCTTAGATTCATAAGTTTGGCCCTGTGATTTGTACTAACATCCACTCTGCTTTCCCTGGCCCTTGGCCAACTCGATCGGGGTAGGCCTTTGGAGGGGCTGTTCTGCTTCTCCTCTGGCTTGTCTACCACTAGAAGAGTAATCACTCCATTCACTGGGTATTCATGACATGCCAGGCACTGAGCTAAGTGTTTTACACATATCCTCTCACTTAATTATCTCATTTAAACCTTACAGCAACCATTTGAAGTAGGTATTATCTACTGCAGAGTTATGTATGTATCTTGCTTAAGTCATGGGGATCTAAATCCAGATCTCTTAGATTCTAAAGCCTGAACTATTAACCTCTCCCCTCCACTGCATCCCAGGAGAAATTCCCAGTGCCTGGTGGTGTGGGGGCAGATCAAATCTGGATGTAGTCCAGATTCATTTCATTTAGTATTCCCAAACAACAAACTGTCTAACAGATAAAACCCAGCAAATCACAGTTGTTTTGAGAATGGGGGAGGGCAGAGCAATTGGGAGAAAGCAAAGTTGGAGACAAACCAATTTGAGTCAAACCTTTAGCCTTTATCTCATAATGCCTTTTTTTTTTAAACTTTCTTTTTTTAACATGGCCTGACACCATGTGATAAATCAAAGCCTGACGTAATTGACCCAGAATTGATCCCCAAATGTCTTTTGGGGGAACATGCTTTAACTCTAGTTGTTGATTCTGAGGAATAATTGCCACCCTAGAAAGGTAATTACATATGCCATTGTTTATACACATAATAGGCTCAGAATGCATATTCTGCACAGAGGGAAAGAGAATCCTGCTTCTACATTAGGGGTGTGTGTTATGTATTGTGTCAGAATGCCACAAATAGCATTTGAACTGTTCCCTCTTACTGCTTATTTCCCTAACGTGTGTGTGTGTGCATATGTGTGCGTGTGTAAGGGTGAGGTTGGGAGTGAGGAAGGAGGTGGGCCATGGACAGCTGTTTGTTGAGCTGAGCGACAGTGATTTGCTTTTCCTTAATTTTTTAGCGTACCAAAACATCTTCTGGATCTGATTCATTTAGCTTGGGCTGGTAAAAGGACTTTTTTCTTCCTGCTTGGCATATGCTTATTAATGAGTTCTTATATTTCTTTCCATCAAGCACTATTTACCTTGTGGAAATATAAAGTGAGAATCTTTCTCCGCAACATCCTCCTAAATGCCCTGGTTTTGACCACCCCTTTAAGTACACCAAATAGTCAGCTAAAATGGTAGCTAGTGCCTTTCCTCTCACTGTGCTTTCTGGTAAAACATAAATGGGATTTAAACCACAAATGACCAATTAAAGCACTTCATGCCTTTTTCCTTTAGCCATAAGACAGTAGTTAACTTGAGTAAATATAACAAATAGGCTATTTTGTGGTAGTCTAACCTAGCAACATATATATATATATTTTTTTTTCTTTTTTTAAATCCAAGCTTTAAAAAAACATAATGTCATGACTTTTTGTAGTACTGCCCAATGAAAGGAATACATATGTATTCCAGTATGGAACTGAGCCTTGTTTGAGGCCAGAGCAATTCATCCTGGGCTATTCTCGGCTGCAGTGTCCAGCAAATTGCATGACCTGCTTGTTAGACTTGACAAGACTGTTTTACCTAACAAAGGCCTCTGCAGCTCTGAGCAGCAGTGGAATGTCAGAATGAGCACATTTCACACACAGATGTGCAGCCATAATAGCCTCTAAGAAGATGCATGTGGCAGGGAGCTAAGGGTGGGGGTTGGGTGCTTGGAGTGGGTGGTGTGTGAGAGTGTAGTTCGGGGGCCAGCGGGAGAAGGAGGCCAACAGTTAGCAGTAGGGACATGGCCCCACTGACCACATTTAATCAGCCCTCTGTAAACAATTCAACATTTTCATTGTTCTCTAAAAACTAATAAAGAGAAACAAGCACTTTTCATTCATCTTGAAGTAATTTTCTGTCAGGTTGGAGCCCCTTGCGGCCTCCAGCTTGGGCAATGCTGGCTGTGTGATACAACAACTATTGCAATTTATTTTACAAACTCTGGTCATTCACATGTCAGTTAGTGTTCACCAAGCCGGCGTCTGAAATTGTGCAGTTAACGAGTTTTACAACATTTCTATCAAGAGAAACTGTTTAGCATAACTGACTCTTAAGGAGTTATTATACCTCTAAAAATCCATTTTAAGGGGCATTATTTAAATAAAATAGAAAAACGGTTCACTGCCTTTTAAAGGGGCTACAAAAAAAGTCCATCAGCTCCAGTGCAGTAATCCTCAGCTTAAAGCACTCTTGAGAGTACTTCTGGGAATTGTCAGCATAATGAAATGTTTTGTGAAATGTCCAGATAGATTCCTCTACTCAACAATTTTACTGCACCATATTTATTTTCCTTCCAGTTTTTAAAGAAGTGAATTACTTTTTGAGAGGATGACTCTATGTTGTGTAGATTAACTGAGCACATTATTACCCAGGTTGTAGCAGAAGTGATGGTTCTGTTTGTAGTATTATCCATATGCATCTGCAGCCGGGGGCAAAGAAGAGAAAGGCACCTTTCCCCCCTTAATGCCTTAGCTCCAAAAGGGTTAAATCACCGTGAGGCCTACGGATTTTGTAGTTTCCTCGTGCCATGTTTCCTCAGACCTCTCAACAACGTGGGTACAAAATGGCCCCTGTCAATACTTCCTTTAAGCCTTAAAAAATGGACTCTGTTTTCTTACCCTAAATTACAAACGCAGGGAAAGCCATACACTTGTGCATTGGCACTTGCATACTGATGCGTATCATTTGAGCCCGGCCCATTTCTATAGGAGATGCCATTGGACATTTTACTTAAAGAATAGTAGATTCCTCACATTAACTGAGATGGCCAGTGACCCCCATACCGATTAATGACGAAGAGTCCATAATAGAGCACTATATAGCATAGCAAAAAGTTCGTTTAGCATATTATATTACCGAACGGGAGTAGAAGCTACCACTTGTAATGTTAATGGCTTAATGGTTCTTTCTACGGTGAGCAAGGCCAGGAGAAAAATTATGTTCTGCTGTAACAAGAGATACTCCATATCCCTAAGAGGTGTATCTGTAACAGGACACATTTCCATTTTGCAACAAATGGTCCCCTAATTTCATAGACTGATGTTTGTGCACGTGACTTCAATTTTCTGAGGGAGACAGGCAGGTGTTCTTGTGCCTGTTAGCCGTATCTGCCCATAAGAAGCACAGTAACATCCATGAGCCAAATACAATTTGATATAATTCATACCTTTATTACCTCCTACAGAATGATATTATTTCATGCTGGCACATTAATGTTTCCAGCACGATACTGTCATTCCTGGAAATTTTACCGTTTGAAGTTCAAATATTGAAGAATGAGTTTTAAAATTCTCTAACTGCCTTAGATTTGGGGAAAATGTG